GCAGCTGCCAGGGGCGGGGGTGGTTGTGGGGGCCAAGGGGGAACCCAGGCAGGCAACAGCAGCAGCTCCTTGATAAGAGCTGCCAGGAGGCGTCCGCTGGAGTGACACAGTCCCTCGCAGACTTCCGGGGACAAATTTCCCTTCCAAGCAAATTCCCATCTCCCAAGGGCCCTGCCGAGTGCCTGTGGGTCAACTTTTCTCTCTTCGGCAGGGTGCTCAGAGACTCCTTATCTGGCCGGCACAGTCTCATTCCCCTGCTCCCCACTCTGCGACTAGGCGGCTGGACATCCCCACCTCTGTCTCTGTCTCATGCTCCCTCAAAGCGGGGTCTCCCTGCTCCAGCAGGCTCGCTCTTCTAAGACTCCTGCTTCCCTCCCTCTCTGCCCCTGAAATGCAGGATCTCACAGTCTCCATTCAATCACCTCCTTAAAATGTATTTACGGAACGAATATGGAGCAGATGACTCTCCTCTTTCCTTCCCTCCTTCCCTGCCTCATTTCCTTCCTTCTTTCTTTTTCCGATTTCTTCCTTTCTCCAGTGAGGACATGAAAAACAAACAAAGCCATCATCAACTATCTGTATCATTCCACAAATACTAGGAGGTTTTAACACCCCAAGAGTAGGAAAGATATAATCTCATGTAAAGAACTATCCAGATACATGAGACTCTTCTAACAGGGAGAGGAGGCGGGTAGCTGAGGGACAGCGGGGAGAGGAAAACGAGTTCCTCTCTTTTGTAGCTCTTGAATTTTATACCATGTAAATAAATATAACTATCTATTAAAAGAAACAAAGCCAAGACTGTCCTTACTCTATCAGCACAGCTCACATGGTAAATATTTCCTTATTCTTATTTTTATTTCCTCATGGACCAGTGAAGAAAACTTCATCCCAGCCTGTGGCATCTTCTCAATTAACTAAGTTTTGTGAGGAAAAGTGCCCAGCCTTTCACTTCTGGTGTCTTTTGCTGCCCTTCCCTGTCCAGCTCTCCACCTGGACCACCTGAGGCTGAATCTTAGCTCGGCTACTTCCTCGCTTGCTCTTTTGGAGCAAGTTCTTTAACTTCTTTGTGCCTCAGTCCCTCATCTGTAAAATGGGCCAACAATGGACCTGACCTCCCAGGTTCGTTGTGAATCCGAGAAGGGATCTAGTAAGTGGCAGTCAACGCCAGCTATTTTTACAACCATCGTCCTCTTCGCTGCCTCGCCCCCTTTGAATCCATCAGAAAACATTTATCAATATAAATCTATACCTGAGTGTTAGACACCGCTGACCCTGAGGAAGACACAGCTCTTCCTCTCAAGAAATGCACAGTCTACCTGACCGGTACAGGAGAGAAAAGGTCACTCGCTTGCCTCGAGGTAGGGTCAGGGGAGAGTGACGCAGAGTGGGAGACGGCACATTTATGCATCAATGTCGGGTCCCGGAGGACGCACCGTGGCTTCTCCAAAGTGAAAAATGTAACGATAGGGTCTTCATTTTCACCCCCAGGGAAGGGCTCCTGGGTAGTTCTATTTTCTCTGGGCCTTCGCCTAGGAAGTAAGGGTTCTAGGGAAGCTACAAATACCAGTCCAGCGTTCTTATTTCCTTCCCTCTGGTAGAAACTAGAAACCAGTGGCCATCTGTTGTTTAGTCCACTCAAAAGAGGATGTTGAGGCTTGTTTTTCTTTCGGACCCAGGGATGCCTGGGAGCCTTGCAGCCCCGGGCCTATCTCGCACAAAGCGTCTCGAAGAAGGCAGTGGATTTGGGGGCCGCACGACACTCCCCCGGTGGACCCCAGAGCATGGAACGTAAGGCCCCCATCCCCTGTGGCAGGTGTCCTCAGCCTGCCCATTGCCAGAGCACTGGCAGGTGGAGTAGGGGCTGGCGGGGGGGTGGGGAGGGGGCGGCGGTACAGACACAGGTGCGCAGGTGACCTTTGGCGGCTCAGCCCGACCACTCGGCTTTCTTTGAGGTCTCAGACCCGGTGTGGAAACTGATAGATATGGCACCGTTTCTGACTTAGCCAGCCCTCTGCAAACTGCCTGCTCTGCTCTTTGATGCTTGCTATTATTATGATTATTTAAAAACTTTTTTAAAAAAAAATTCTTATTATTTTCTGCTAAATGCGGTTCACACAAACCTCGGCAACCAGGGAATTGCATGCCTGAAGGGTAGTTATTCTCAGAAGCTAGATACTGGAACTGATAAACACTTAAGTGATATTTAGACAGAAGATAGAGTGTTTCCATGACCCAGTTTCTCTGGAGCCTTCCACAGACCATCAGTTCTAACAAACGGATTTGCTGTTTCTCAGTTAGGATGACTTTTTGTTTAGTTTTAATGTCATATGTTTGATGTGGTGTAGGTGATGTGAGGGTTTAAATAAGTTTTGTGGGGTGTGTGCTTTCCTTGAATATTTTAAAGGAGTATAGTGTGTGTGCGTGTACGTGTGTTTGTGTGTATGTGTGTGTTTGTGTGTATGCATGAGTGTGTGTGCACATGTGTGTGTGTTTGTACCAAATCACTTTAGAATTTAGGGTTCACACTTCTGCCTTTTCCTGGGCTTGAGTGTTTAGTTTGTTTTCTTTAACATGCTGTGAGTTTTGGGGGTTCTTAGGACAGACCCTTTGAGGACGTAAGTTAACTCTGTGGTTGAAGAAGCTGGATGTTGAGATTTTACTAAAATGTTATTTGACTTGGGGAAATCGTCATTGCAGGATCATTGCCCAGACCTCCCTGCCGACAAATAGTGGAATCCGTGTTGTAAGCATTCCGTTCTGATGAGCGTTACGGATGCCATTTGAGTATGGATTTTCAAGGAATTAATGTGCGGAGAAGGTCTCTGATAGATATGACATCATAGCATCTATAAATAATGCATTACGCAATATGTCGCAAGCACGCAGCTTCGGCCATCTGCACCACGGCTTTTGAAATGATGGCTTTTACGAAAGCCAGAAACCACACAGGACAGCATAAATGTCCATGGAAAGCGGACGTCCACGTGCTTGTGTGCTGGGTGGTTCTGGCGCAGCCTTGTAGGAGTTTGATTGGAATTGGACTCGCGCTCAGTCCTCTCAGTCTTCTTCCACAGCATAATGGTTACTGTTCTCTTCAAGGCCGTCGTGTTCTGGCCTCTGTGAGTGTGAAGATCAGCAGCTATCAGAAATCAATATGGCAGTAGAGCCTCGTGGGAAAGGGCATGCACTCTGGAGTAGGGCTGCCTGGGCTTGGACCATGATTCCCTGTTTCCTAGCTGGGCGACCCTTGCAAGTCTGTGCCTCAGTTTCCTCAGCTGTGAAGTGGGAATAATATTAACTACATCAGAGGGTCATCGTGAGAGCTGAATGATTTAACCCATGTAAAAAGCTCAGAACAGTACCCCGTACGTTGTAAATAATTTGCGTTTATCACTAGCTAATGATGGATTAATCTGAAGATAAGTTTATTGAAAAATAAGTATTGTGCCTGTAAAAATCTGAAGATCTATAATGCTTTCAAGAGCCCAGAAGGTACAAAAACATTTCTTTTTTCATTGCAAAAATGCTTTACAGTTGAACTAAACAACAATGAAAGTAAACAGCTGGACAAACGTGAAGCGAACAAATGTTATCACCAATAAATGTTATCACCAACGGCTCCTTACATGCCTGAGCAATCAAAGCTGCCAGAAAAATGTAACTTTTTTCCACCTGCGCATTCCAAACCTACCTTTTTGTGTAATCTATCTAAAGTGGAAACTTTTATCAATGAAAAAGGAAAGAACAGTATCGGACCTTTGTGGAGACCTTTGTGGCTCCAAGGGAAGCTGTCAACTCTACATTTTGCTTTGTTCCTAAGTTCAGAATGAACTTAAGTTCAGATGTAAACCGCTTGCTATGGAGAAAGGTTATGTCTTTCTTCTTTACATTACTGGACTGACTATAACATTTAAAGTGAACTGAGATGGCTTAGGAAACCCTTACTTACATGCATCAGAAAATAGCGAATATCTTCTGAGCAGGGGACAGACCTTGAGTAACAGAAATGTCCTGAGTTAAGGGGCAGTTTCTAGGGCGATGCCCACTGGAGTGGACCTTTGCTCAGTCTCATTGGAGATTGGGGACAATGATTTGGAAAAAAGAGACACCATTAGTGAATGGAGTTTGCAAATGCTGATCTGTCCAGAGCTAGCTAGCTATTGATACCGATCAAGAAAGGCTGAGAAGAAAAAAAGCGTAACCGAAAGCCATAATCAAAACTGAAAGACAGTCAGGTCCCATCTAGTAGTTCCTTAGCTGCGTCACCTTGGATAGGTCATTTTACTCTCTGGGCCCTTATTTTCCCAAGCTGTAAAACAAGGGGACTAAATCAGATTAGTGAGTTTTGAACGGTAAAACTTTTTGTTCAAATGAAAGCTGGCACAGAAACCGAATTTGCAAAACGATTGGAGTATGACATCCAGGCTGTGGGGAGGTAGCAGCTGTCTAATGGCAGGGCCAGCTTTCTTATCTCTCAGTTAACCAGAAGATCTGCTTCACCCGAGCTTTCTTTTGGCTGAATGGGAATCCACTGAGTGTATTTATTTGCATGACAGAGCGACAGTGAAAACCCAGATGCGGTTTGGTTTATTATTGAAAACAATGTCGAGCGTTTTGGAATCCTTTCAGACCAAGGTTGAAAACTTAGGGCCCAAGCTGTGGTTCAGCAACAGAAGAGAAATTTGCAGCTGCCTAAGATTGTTCCTGGAACAGCGAACTTGTGTCTCTACGTTTATTTACTTAAGAGAAGATCTGCTGGGGAAATGGAGTCAACTGTCAAACTGTATTCTCCCGGTAAAGAACAGAAGAGTAAATTAGTGAAATGCTTGGCAGAATGAACCCTGAGGCAGAAATTTCTTATAATAATGATCTTTTAATTCGATTTATACTTTGCTGGGAAGAAACTCAGTGTTCAGAAGCTTGCCATTCTAGCCTTTGCAAAGAGAGCAGGGAACTAATTTAATATCCACGAACTGAAGACTCACTTTAGAGAAGCGTGAGATCCATTTGTGATGAGTTCGAGTGAGTTTGCTTCTCAGTTAAAGGAATGGATTTGTCCCAAATAATTCCCTTATGTGCTCCATCACCAGTGTGTATTGAAACACAGGCTTCTGCCGGGCTTCTGGCTACTGATTTATTTAGCACAAGTCAGCCAGCGAAGAGCTAAAATCCAGGTCGTTTTCCCAAAAGCTGCTCGAGAAATTAAAGTGTGTGTTGACCCCGAAGAGAACATGAACGGTCGTGGAACCTGCATTATCCTTAAGTCCAATGTCTTCTGATACAGCTTTTTTCCAAAACCATTTAAAACTGTACGGTCCCCCAGCTATTTGCAGTGATTAATAGTTATAAGACTTTTAAAAATTATCCTTCTAAAGCGATTTGCTTGGCTGACTTCTTAATTAAAAGCTTATTTTCTCCTAGATTAAAACTTTTTAAAAAAATAGGAACATATCTCTACTTTGAAAAAAAAGAAAAAAAAAAGCCCCACAGTGGAGAAAGAAGTACTAGCTATAAAAATAGTTCACTCCGGAGATCATTATTTTAAGGAAGGAGAGAGAAAAACTAACATTCCTTCCAAGTCCACTGTGAGCTTCTAGGTGCCTGACGTGCTTCCTCTTTTAATCCTTCTGATAACCTGAGAGACAAGGGGATGATCTTTATTTTACACACAGAATTTTGCCCATGGTCACACAGTCCAAGTTAGCCCGACCGAGTTTGGAACCTGGGCCCTTCTGAAGTGACATTCTATGGTTTTTCCTTGTCTCTAGGAAGGGGCCAAATTCTATAGAATGAGATGTGCTTATGTCGTTACTTCCTCTTTCAGACAAGTAGCCAAGTGTGTTAGTTGGAGGTCCCCTGTCCCCTACTCTTTAGTCAAGAGGCTTTTTAGGTGTCTTGAGTAAGAGGGTGCAGCAGATGTGCAGGTACAAAGAATCATTCATTCAGTCAGTCGACACACGTAGTAACGGTGTGATGCTGAGCCTGGGGCACAAGGAAAAATCAGTAATAATGATCCTGTCTTGATTTAAAATTTGGCATTTGCTCATTAAGGAATGTTTTCCAATAATTCTGATTTTTTGGAATATTGCGTGAAAATTTATCTCGGTGCCCGACTGTTTTGGCAGCCTCCTTCAATTCTGCACCTGTGGCCAGCGCCTCCCTTTCTCCACCTTAGTCCCAGCCCTGGTGCATACTTCTGTTTATGTGCCAGGAGCTGGAGATACAAGATAGAGATAGATTTACAGGGCAACCTGGCCCAGCCCATTGGCCCACGACCTCGTCTCAGGAGGCCAGCATTGCCCCTTCCCTTTTTAAAATGAAACATCCTTAGACACTTGAGAATTTATAAAGATTTAGAGGAGCTTTCAGACTAGTGAGAATCGACTGTGCAAATAGTCACCACTCAGCACAATAATTATAAGACTGTGGAATGGATCACTGTTGAGCCAAGGTGCCTGGGGAGAGGGCTTGAGTGAGACTTGAGGGCTGCAGTCGGCCAGTGGACCCCGGGAAAGGATGTAAGGGGAGTGTCGGGAAATGACGAGTCTTGTCATCACTCTAAGCCACAGTTTTCTTCATCTGTAAATGGAGGGAGTGGTAGCGGCTCTTCACAAGGTGGTTGTCAGAATGAGTTCACCGGGTTAAGCGCCTAAAATAGATTCTGGCATGCAACTTAAAATCTGTTAGGCGCAGTGGTGATGATGATGTTGATGATGACCATTAAATGCAGATGGTTTTAAATGACAGCCTCTTTGGGCCACGTACGCAGTCCGAACTTTGCTTTGCAGACATCCACGACAGTGATGGGAGTTCCAGCAGCAGCCACCAGAACCCCAAGAGCACAGCCAAATGGGCGGCCTCCCTGGAGAATCTGCTCGAAGACCCAGAAGGAGTGAAAAGATTTCGGGTTTGCCTTTTTTGTTGTTGAAGGAGGGGATTGGTACGACGCATGACGTTTAGATGCGTGTGGGGGAAGCACAGGCCAGTTTTTAACAGTCTCTGTGCCCTAACTTGAGAGTAAGAACTTTTCACCTGTTGTGACTGAAACGGGAAGGTTTCCCTGGGTAGCGTGGACCAGCACCCTGGGGCACGCACAGGCCGTTTCTGGGTTTTATACGGGAGGGGGTGGTCTGGATCCCTCTGATACGAAGGTTCTTTTGTGTGTCGGGATTTTGAACAGAATGGGACAGGGTGGACAACAGCTGGCAAAGTGAAGTTGAGCTCAAAGAGGAGGCCGGTGGTTGGGGAAGAGATAACTTTTGTTGCCTGCGGCAACCCCAGGTGTCAGTTAGAAGAAGCGCGTGTGCATCTGAAAGATGCCCTGTATCTTTCTGAGTCCCACCGACACCTGTCATTAAGTCTTGGGTCAGGCCAGGATAAGCTCTCAGACTGTCGAACCTGCCACCCCTAAGGTGGTGGCCAGCGCTACTGACATTCCTGGACACCGGGCCACTGTGAGCTCTGTCTAGATCTCAGAAGGGACACTTTTCTGTGCCACTACCTCACCGCCCCCGCCCAATACCTTCCAAAAAGGAAAAACACACACCTCCAACTTAAAATAGTTTTCATCATGGCGTTTTTTTAGACATGTTCAATGTGTTTTCTTTTGTTTAAAAAAATGGGCCCGATTTTAGAGGAATGTACTTTGTTTAAACACTGTCTAGAAGGAACAAATATATCTTCCACTATAATTTACATTTTTGGTAATTTATTGTAAGCTTAGAATTGTGAGGAGATGCTTGCTTCATTTTTACTCTTGCTTACAATGTCAAAGCTATTAAGTTCAAATGCATATGAAATTCTAGCTTTAACTTAAACACAAGCTTTGTTTTTCAGGGTGGAGTTTTCACAGGGTGATTGGATCATGCTCATTTGTTGCATTTTGCCAGATCAGTCCTTGGAGTGAAATGCATTATTTGTTTGTTTGTTTTTAAGTAGACTGCTATCTGATATTTTTTTTTCTCTGTATCCGTAGGAATTTTTAAAAAAGGAATTCAGTGAAGAAAATGTTTTATTTTGGCTAGCGTGTGAAGATTTTAAGAAAACGCAAGATAAGAAGCAGGTATTTCTTCCACTCTAAAATCACATTCTTGATATGTTTTTTCTCTCCTTGTAAAGTTACAGCTGCCTTTCCAATAGATTTTGAAATTGCCTAAAGAAATCTGATCCATACTGGATTTAGGGGGAAGATTTAAGCTTCAGATTAGGTATCTCGTGTTGCTCAAATATTCATCACTTTCAAGAGTTTGTTAATCCATTTTTAAATGGAGCTGTGCGAATGGATAAATATTTAAAGTAAAAATAACAATTTGTGTCGCTTAGAGTTCATCCCCATGTACGATTTTTTTTTTCTTCATGAATAAGTCACGAGGACGCTTCCCCCGGAGTTTGACATGTCGGCATTTTGTGCAGAGGTAGTACAACAATCAGCAGATGTGGTGATAAAGGCACAGTGGGCATCAGACGGATTGTCAATGATTCACTTAACAAAATATCCTGTGGTTGGCAGGCATCCCGCATAAAATGTTCCTGACTGTTCTCCTGGGTAGATGTGAGCTCTTTGCAGGAGGTACCCTTAATTCCCACATCAGCCGATTTTCTGCCTTTTAAGGTTGAGTGTAAGGGGAGGCGAAGGAGATTATGGGGAAGGAGGCTTGAGCATTGGGTGTATTTATGAGGCCTGTGCCTGTGTATTTCTAAGAGGCTATGAGCTAAATGCCTATGAGGTCCGCTACGTAATGCGCATGAGTGAGGATTCTGGTGTGAGTCTGTAGGGAGTGATGGGGACTGGGGCCGTCAGCGGGCAGCTGCCCTGCCTCCAGGGGCTGCATGCAGCAGGTTGTTGAGCTGATTTGGGCAGTGAATGCTTTGGGGTCTATGGCTGTCTGGGCTTTCCCTCCATTGAGTTCTGCCCTCCTGGATCTTCGCTGGCCCGTCCTCACCCCCAGAGCCCTGTGGGGCTCTCCTCCTGAAGGCGTCTTCTCTCATCTTCAGCCCCTGCTGCCTGTTTCTCCAGGGAAACTGGACTTCGGACGCTTGTGTGAACCCATCGACTTTATAATGTTAGAACTCATTTTTTTAAAATGTAGAACCTTGCCTGCCAAACCAAACACATCCATGGGCAGATGTGACTTGTGGACTGCCAGTTATTGAGTATCTTTCTCCAAAAGCTGGAATCCACGAGACCAGCAGTCATGACGTGTTTGTAGACAACAGCTTGGAAAATGTCCGTCATTGGTTTCTTCAAAGACTCTTCTGGACTCAGACACACTTTCCCCAAGATGGAGCAGTGTGCCTTCCTCTCTGTCAGGGCAAGGATGGATTCTAAGACAGGTGCCCCTTAGCTTGAATTCCAGGCCATCTGGGGCGTGACCCTCGCATTAACTTCCTTTGGCTTCTCCCTGAACGACTGCCTGAGCCTCCTGGGTGGTGAGTGGCCTCAGAGAGCAGGAGAGAGGACTTGCTTTAGAAAGCTAAGATGCTGGCCACAGCTCTTCGGGCAGTCGTACCCGTCATTCTCTTTGCCCCCAGCACCCAGGACAGGGCCCAGCGACAACCTCCCATAAAGGTTGGACTGTGCAATTGCTTCATCCAGCCTCACCTGAAAACCCTAGCTCAGATGAGTCCAGCAGGCAAACAGATGTCCCGTCCTCTGCCTTGTGCTCTGTGCGTTAGAGGTTGGCCAGCCCACTCCTGCATTGGACAAACCAGAAGCTTAGGCCCCCGCAGGGGCCAGGCCGGGGCTCAAACCAGCACTCTGAAGTCGCCGAGTCATTTTTCCTGCATGTCGTGTGGGGGTGTCCAGCTGAGGTCACCAGGTCTCTGTGGAGTGCCTGCTCAGGGCTAGGCCTTGTGAAAAGCATGGGAGACACACAGGAACAAGACAGATGACCTTCTTTGGGGAACAGGCACCAAGAGGAGAAGCTGCTTGTTAAGCCTTTGCAAGTGTGACGAGTCTGGAAATGAGAAGTGTGGGTTCTGTGGGGACACAGGCAGTGGGCGGCCTAGAAAGCTCCCAAGGGAAGTGGCTTTTAGGCTGATACTTAAAGTGGGATTTGGGGATGAGGGTCGTTTACCTGGAACTGGGGACAGCACGTGGGGAGGAATTCCTGGAGAGAAGAGCTGAAGGAAGACCAGATGGCAGAAGGGTCATGCTTGAGGGGCAGCCTGGCTCTGCTGTGCCGGAGGCTGGCAGGCAGGTGGGGCCACTCCGGGAGAACCTGGGTACCAAGGTAAACACCGGCAAGCCATGATGGTGGGTTGCACCGGCCCATCCACATCCTACAGACAGAGCTTTCAGCATCTGGCAGCTCCTCTCTGCAGCCCTCACTATGACACCCAGCATGTGACTCCTTGAAGGTTTGTGTCCTCAAGCCTGGAATGTGATTGCTTCAGTGCAGTGAAGCTGCCTCACCTTCAACTGCCTGGGAATGCAGGTGGTCCTGGAAGGGAGGACACCCCTGTGAGGCCCGCGGTGTCAGACTTCAGTCTGGGTGATCACGCTGAGCCTCCTCACTGCTCCCATCCTCCAGGGGCTGGGCTTGGAGAGGTGAAGCAGCAGTTCGTCTAAGGCCATTGGCGCGGTGCAGACAGAGCCAGGATGCAGACCAGGCCTGCGACTCCAGGGCCTGTGGGTCTGGCTGCGGGGGAAATAAAATCAGGAGTCAGTTCTAAGTCACTAATTTTAAAAAAGCAGAGGTGGACATAAGCACAAGGAGAAGTTGGCCCAACTGGATTTCACAATGAGACTGACCGCATCTGGTCCAGCAGGGAGTTTGTGGACGGTTTATCTCCTCAGGGAACTAAGGCAGTGGTGGACTGAGGAGGACCGCACATTATTTTAAATAGGACCCATGCTGGTTTGTCTTCTGTTCTTTTTTATTTTTAGGTGAGGCAACCCTCGGTTGACCTCACAGAGTGCAAGGACCGTGTCAGCTTCCAATCCCTTATTATTTTATTTTATTTTTTATGCCTACAGCACCTGATCTTCCTAGGTGGTCTCCCATCCAAGTACTAACCGGGCCTGACCCTGCTTAGCTTCCGAGATCAGACGGGATCGAGCTTGTTCAGTGTAGCATGGCCATAGACTGTTTTCTGTTCTTTTACTAGAATTATCCAGCCTGATATCTCCATAGCACTCACTGACTTATCTGATTTCTTACATAATTTCTTTCTTTATCTACTGTACGGTTTGCTTTTCCGTCTGTCATGCAGGCTCCATAAGGGTTGAGATCTTTGTCTCCTCCCCCAGTGAATCCGAGTGCCCGGAACAGGGCTGGGCTCACTGTCCTTCCAGCTCTTCTCACTCAGGCCAGCCCTGAAGATCCACCGTGCGTGGGGCCCTGGCCTCTGTCTCACTCGTGCTGCAGTCACAGCCTTAGGGATGGATGTGAGGGATGCACATGAGTCCATCCTGTTGGGACATATTCTCAGAGGCTCCACAGAGGCGCTGTGTCCTCATCGTCCCTGGTCTGTGATTCGCCCCCTGGCAGGCAGGAAAGCGGCCCCTTAATTGGGGAGAGTCTTGACATCTTGACACTCTGCATTTATGGTAAGGTTGCTGGGGCTTTAGGGACTTGGGAGGGTGATGCCCCCCACACTTCCCTCCTTGGGGTTCCTGGGGTGGTTACACCTGCCAGGTGTTCATATTCAGCCGTCTGCTTTCAAAGCAGTTCGCTCCCTTTGTACTTTATGGTTTAAAATTTTTTCTTCCCCATGAATTAGCACGTGAGATAGATCTATCTTCTAAAACAAAGAAGCATTTATGTTTTATAAAACCTCAGAGAAAGCTCCAACAAAGTGTTCATTCTTTGGCTACCCCTGAATTCATTCATTCATTCGTTCATTCATTCACCCTTCAGCACATGGGGCCAGTTTACTAAGGATTGAAACGGACATGGCAGCCTGTGCAGATGTGTAAAAATCAAACAGAGTCAGGGTGGGGAAGTGGTGGGCTGATGCAAGGTTTCTAATAATCATACCTCTGAGCAATTTGCACTGGTATTTAAATATAATCCCTCGCATTTTCGTAGTGTTTTAGAATGAACAGAGTTATGGGGGAGGGCTCTATCCTATTTATCATTTTTATTATATTTTACTTAACACTAAAACTTGATCCAGGATTTTAGATTGTTCGATATTCTTATTTAAAGTAAGAGTGAAGGTTTTCCTAAAAGGCTAAAACACCATCTTTATTATTTAAAAATCCAAAAAAAAAAAAACGACAACTGCTCCTTCTGTGAGGTTCATTTGCTTCACAGTAAAGAGGGCTAATTCCTTTCACCCCTCAGCCCCCTCCAGATTTCACTTCCCCTGTTATTTGGGCTGTGTCCTTCCAACCTTTGCCTTTCGACATGGACTCGGCCAGGTCCAGGCCGGACCTGATTGGAGCTCGGCTGCTCTCAGTGTGGTCTTGGGCCTGGCACTGGCCGGTCCTGTGCCTCCGTTCCTTCCCTGCTCAGTGTACCCCTTCTAAATGTTATCTGCCAGCTTCCTCTTACTATAACCGAGGTTTCACTTACTCACATCTCTGTCTGTTGCATTTTCATTATGAAAATACTTATTGTTTATAGTTTGCTGCTGAGCCAAAGAGGATGCTACAGTTACATTTTTCTTCTTGGACCATTTTTTTGCTTTTCTTATTTTCACAGCCCTTTAAAATGCTTCTTGATACTGTGTTGCATGGGCTTAGGCCTCTCAGCTCATCTCTGCAGTCCGGGTTCACCTGAGGACAGTCCTCCTCGGGCCCTCTGACCACAGCTCCTCCCGTGAGGTCCCTGGGTCTTCCTTTGCACCAGTGGCCATTCCCTTTGCCCGTCTTCTGCTTCCTGGACCCAGGTCCTCTTATCTTGAGTCACCCTCTCATTTTGGTGGAGCATGACCAGCAATGGCTCCTTGAGAAAGGGGACACGGCAGGTAGATAGTTAAAGATCACGGTGAGTGAAAACGTTATTTTTTTCCTACCCTCCCACTTCATGGATAATCTGACAGGGCATAGAATTGAATTATAGGTTGAAACGCATGCAGATTTTTTTTTTCACGCAGAATTTTGAAGACACTGTCCCATTGTCTTCTATTTTTGTTTAGAACCAGTATTTTATATATAAGTTGATTTGTTTTGTTTACTTTGCTTTTTTTCTCTCTGGAACAGTATAGGATCTTTTCATTATCAATATTCTAAAACTGTACAGTAATAGGCTTTGGAGGGGGGTGGGGTTCATCCATTGTGTGGGCATTTTATGGAGCCTTTTAAACTACAGGTTTATAGTACTGAATAATCTAATAATAATAATAATATGAAAATATTATTAATTATTAATTATCATTATTATTAATTATCATTATGGTTTAGTAACATTTTCCCTTCCATTTTCTTTGGTCTCTTTCCTGGCTTGAGCCCTTAATTTTATCTCTTACCCTCCTGTTTTTTTTCATATCTTTGACTGTTGGTTCCTAGTTTTCTTTGGAGAGTTCAACTTTATCTTTAAATCCTTCTGTTGAATTTTTTCTGCTTTTGTTTTTTTGTTGTCTGTTTATTTGTTTTCTCTAGACTAGAAACCTCTAGCCTCTTCCTGGTGGCCACAACCCCAATATTATGTCTATAAACTAAACTGATCTCCAATCCACCGGTTTGGGGAAAATTTGCTGGGCAACTTTGCGTGTAGAATTTTACTGAGCCCTTAGACTCGGTTTGGCGTCTCATCCTTGCCGACTCTCATGCCTCTGTTCGGGAGCTTCCCTGAGTCAATATCTTTAGAGAAGAAAACTCTAGTTTCCAGGGGTGGGGGGAGAGGGGGCGAGGGGGAAAGGGAGAGGTGGGAGATGCTCACCTGAACGTTCGGGGTTGGGGGGGTTGGGGACCTGCGGGTCCGAGGGCTTCTCCTTCTGCTGCCCTCCTCATCCCTCCCATCTGGGTTCTCCAGTGCCCCTGAGTTCTCGCCACTTTTTGGACGTTGCTTGTTGGCACCTGTTCCCCAACCTTGCAGGTGCGGAGGCTCGTTCCTGCTCTCTGCGGAGTCATCCGCTCTCCCTCCACCTGCCTTTCACTTCCTGAGCCAGTTCTCGGAAATGTTCTCGAATCGTTCGATAATGTCTTTGCCTCATTCTCTGCCTGAAGCTGATATTGATAAAGGTAGTGGCTCGATCCTTTAATTTTCTTACGTGTCCTCTCCCATTGTCCATCTCCGGCAGAATGGCAGGATGGAGAGGAACAGCTGATGGACGTTTGTGCAGGAGGCAAAGTGAGCAGAACTCAGTGATAGGCAGGGTGTCGGGGTGAGGGACGCGTTGAGGGATCTTGGATCCCAGCTTCCTGGAGTAGAGACTGCAGGACCCACTGGCCAGGGGGGACCACTGCTTTCCTTGGTGTTCGAGGCATCGGTGGGACATCCAAGCCCACATTTCTAGAAATCCGTTGGCTACATGGTCAGTAGCTTGGGGGGGTGCCAAAATCTTGCGGGAGCACGTGATTAGGATAACAGTCAGCCTAGGGCAGAACTCCGGGAAGCCCAAGAATTTATGAGGGGGACAGAGAGTCAGGAGTCGGCAAAGGAGACAGGTACAGACAGAGAGGTATTGCAGAATCCTGGGAGGACCGCAGTGGTGGGCAGGGCTGGGGCTGGAGAGTGGTCCAGACCTAGGTCCAAGGGACTTAGCCACCTGGGGGACATCAGCGAGCTGTGGGGAGGGAGGCTACACTGCAGGTGGGCAGAAGCCAGACCGAGAGGGTGGAGTTGGTGGAGACCCAGAGTGCATGCTTTTCTTTGGTGGAGTTTTCTCTGGGGGGTGGGGAGGTCCTTAGCTATAGGAGGATGTGGAGTGAAAGGAGGTTTTGTTTTATTTTCCCAATTGGAAAAGTTTAAGCACACTTATTGGACGAGGGAGAGGAGCCAGAACATACAAAGCAATTCTCTTCTGAGCTTTGCATGGCTGATGACTTCGCTGTCCTCCTGAGTGGGTTTCTGTTTCCGGGGCTGGGGTGACAGTGAATCTGCTTTTCCTGAACATGCGCTGGCTGGGAGCAGTGGCTCCGTGCTCACTTTTCTTATGGCTGATGCCAGGCTGGAAGGAAGGCCCAGACTTGGGGGGCGGGGGCGGGGTGTCTGGGGAGAGCTCCTCTGGGCGCAAATGCTCCCACACGTGGTCCTCGACGCCGGGAGTCACCACACGGGCCCAGGTGAGGTCCTTTTGCAGCTCTTCTGGGGCAGGCGGGACCCTGGGCATGTTCGCCCTCCTCAGGGGGCTGGAGAAGAGAAGCTGGCTGGTCTCACCCAGAGCCATTGACCTGGGCGGCTCCAGCACCGGGTGGACGGTCTGTCCTTGTCCTGAGAGGAGCCATAACAGGGTTAACGATGCTCTGGAAAATCCGAAATAACTCAAGAGACCCAGTTCTTCTTTTTTGTTGAGTCTCCTCAGCGCGGACACCAGGCCTTCCCGTGACTGGCTTGCGGTTGGCAGTGTCAGGGTTTCCCTTTTCAGTCACACTTCCCATCCTGGCCCAGATAAGCACTGCTCCTGCTGCCGTTCCCCTGTGGGGGCGTCGAGGGGCCCAGCTCATTCCCTGGCGGACTCGGGACGGGGACCGGGGGCATGCAAGTGGGACTCAGAGACCCAGAGACGTATACCTGCAGGCCCCCCAGATCCTGCTTCCTCTCCGCCTGGCCCCTTCCGTACCCGCTTTAAGCCTCAAGCTACTCATTACACTTCTCCTTTTCAGAACCAGCCGAGACGGCGTGCACTCATCTGGAGGCAGGTTGTGTGTGCGTGTGTGTGTGTGTGTGTGTGTACACTCATCTGGAGGCAGGGTGTGTGCGTGTGTGCGTGTGCATGTGTGCGTGCGTGCGTGCGTGTGCGTGAGTGTGAGACAGAGAACGTCCAACGAGGTCGGGGCGCCAGAGGGGTTTCTACCTCCAGAACTCTGCATGCAGTGTGTTAGCCTGACCGGCTGATGGCTTTACGAACTATGAACATAGGAAGTGGCTTTCCAAAAATGTTCCTTCCTGGCAGAATGCGGTGGGTGGGCGGGAGGCTCCTGGCTTCACGTCAGCCTGGGTCTCCGAGAGGCAAACAGACCCAAAGGGCTGCACCTCCTGGGTCACCGTGATGGTCTCCAGACTCGTCCCTGGAATAGCCACGTTTATCTTAAGCTGTTCCTTGTGTCTTCGAGCCTGGCCTTGATTAATGACTGCATTGATAGTTGATCAAGAACTGACACCATGGCCTTGGGTGTCGACCTCCATCTGGACAGTCTCTGTGGGGCGCTGGAGACGGTCAGGCCTTGGCCTTACGGGGCCTTTTGTCCACTAGTCCTCGGAACGAAAACAAGTTAAAGGACTGCTTTTCGCTTCCTTTCAAGCACCAGGTATTGATGCCTGGTGTTTTCCATACGGTGAAAGGTTTTCGGAGCCTGAGATTCCCTAAGCCAAGCTCTGCAGCCTGTGCGGAGCCTCAGGTGGGCTCTCTGGGGAGAAGGGCAGTCCTCCGGGCCCCCCACACGACTCAGAGCTCCGTGGCTGCATTTCAGAGGCATTTATTGTCTGGCTTGCTCCTTAGGATGAGGTAATAGTTTGGGCTTTCGTGTTGAGAGAAACAGCCCCCATCTTTGCCGCTGCGAGGTGTGAGTCCGGGAAGTCTCCTTCCTCTAAGAGAAAAGAGACCCATCGGGGGACACTGGGAAAGCCAGGCTCCCTTCTTCCGCCCCACGAGGAGGCAGGCTGTTTTTAAGACGAAGCACTTACCGCGAGCGTGTTCCCGCGGCAGCCAGGGTTGGTTTTCCACGCATTGGAAGCAGAGAAGCACACTTATCTAGCGCTGCCCGCAACCTTTCAAGGGCCGGTACCTACTCAGAGCTGATGCTTTCCAGCAGGACTGCTCTTGGGACTCAGGGCGGGCAGCCAGTGTCCTCTCCCTGGCTTATACTTGTATCTCGTTACCTGGAAAAACACCACCCTGCCCTGGGAGGCCGACTGACCGCACAACCTAGAGGGGATACTGTATCCTGCAGGTGTGGACCTGAGCGGAAATGCAAGGCTTTGGAGCCACACAGTCCCACGTCTCCCCGCAGGCTCCTCGAAGGTGGCCTGGCCTCCGTGTCCTCATCGGGGAGGTGGCACTAACAGGAAAGTGGCACCTCGGTGGATGCTCACGGGGTTAAGGAAATGGGGCCATGGCCGTAAAACATCTCGCTCGAATGTGTCTGGAGCACAGGTGCTTGGTAACTGGTTGGGATATTACGCATAGTTGAACTCGATTTTGTTTTTCTTGTGGTGAAATACAGATAAGGAATTTTACCATTTTAACCATATTTTAGGGTTCTCACTTTTACCATTAAACCTTTAAAAGAGTACAGTTCAGTGGCCTTAAATAGATTAATAGTGTTATACAGCCATCACCACTATCTAGTTCCGGAATTTCTAATCACCTCACACAGAAACCCCTTACCCCTTAAGCAGTTACTCCCCTTCCTCCCCTCCCCAGCCCTGGGCAACCACTCATTTTCTGTCTGTATGCATTTGCTTATTCTGGATATTTCACGTATCATGTAATATGTGGCCTTTCTTTCAGTTAGCATAATATCGTCAAGGTTCATCCGTGTTAGAGTATGTATCAGGACTTCATTCCTTTTTACGGCGTGTTCCTAATATTCCCATGAGTCTTTAATTTGGAGACTTCGCAGGATGGTCCCTAAAGTACAGAACGTCACTCATTCTGGGCCAGGATTCTTTCTGTCATCATTTCTGATTGGGAAGCGTAGCCATTTTGTGATAGGAAATGTGGCTACAGACACGTGGGAAAGGCGGAGTGGGGGCTGGGCCAGCCATGAGTCCCAGCAGCCAGGCCCCTCGGCCTGGACAGAGCAGAGAGCTGGGTTCAGGCCGGGAAGGGCTGAGCTCACAGATGACAAACAGTGCCGCCCCCCACCCGTGTCTCCCCCAGATGCAGGAAAAGGCAAAGGAGATCTACATGACCTTTCTGTCCAGCAAGGCCTCGTCCCAGGTCAACGTCGAGGGGCAGTCCCGGCTCAATGAGAAGATGCTGGAGGAACCACACCCACTTATGTTCCAGAAACTCCAAGACCAGGTAACCCGACTTCCTTACCCGCACTTTGATTTGAAACCAGCATTTATCCCTGGCCTGGAAGAATTCAGTCAAACACTACATTTTAGACACCCCGGAAGCTGTCCCATCCAGCTGGGCAGGCAGAGGCGCATGGAGGAGCCGCGGCTGGCGAAAGATAGAGGACTGGATTTGACCCCCAGGAGGCTCCCGTGGGCGTCTTAACTCTTGGCCTACACACCGTTTGAACCGGCAGGGTTATCTGTCTTCTCAACCCAGATTAGAGGAAAGGCTGGGTCTATCTGAGGCACCCACACTGAGCAAGCAACATGTGCTAACTGCTGAAGATGGGAGTGCACAGAAAATTCTAGAAAGCAAGCACAAGGACTCAAAGTGGCAGGGAACCCGGGGTGGTTTTTTGTGCAGATATCCAAGCGTAGCCACCTGCCCCTGGTGGCCCATTCCTGTAAGCTAGTTCATAATGAGGCCCCTGAGTCATCATGAAAAGGCCAACATCTGGAGCATACATATTCCACTTAAAGAGGAAAAGTTAGGTTTAAAAATAGACCTATGAGGGGCAAACTTCAGTGTTCCATGGGGAGGAACGGCAGTGGTGATAGGCAGAGGGATGAAAGTGCGCTCCCGAGGCTCTCTGAGGGACCAGTTTGCAGACAGGACCATCCACAGTGCGCTCCGTTCTTCCGAAATGCAGTACACGCACTCGTCGACAGTGGAACGCAGACAGATTTTGAACTTCTGCGGGCCCTGTCCTTGCTGCAGAAGTGAAGGCCTTCCTTGGCACAGGGGTGAAGACTAGCTTTCCGTTTAATTCAGCAGCCCTCGGCCAAGAGCGAGTCCACCTGCAGGGCTTGTGGAAGCAGATGCTGGGCTCGACCCTCTGAGTTAGAGGTCAGATTTGATGGTTCCTAGGCGAGCTGGGACTTTGCCTTCCCAACAAGGTCCCAGGTGAAGTGGATGCTAACGGTCCTGGGAATTCACTCAGAGAACCACTGGTCCTCTAGATGGGCTGGCCTCTTTTTTTTGATCACCTGGAGTGGGCACAGAGTGCAGAGCATGTCCCAGCATCTAGGAGGAGGGCTTATCTTTGCTCAGCATCAAATAGAAAACAAATATACAGGTAGAAAATACAAATATGAGAAGTAGTTTAAGAGTGTTTTTCAATTGACAGTGGAAGTGCCAATTCCACATGAATTATGAATCAAATTCGGGTGTTGAAGAAACTCTGATTAGCATGGGTGACTTGCTGAGAGCCTCCTGGAGGTGGTGACTTTGAGCCAGAGGGAAGGAAGTTATGGACTTGTATTTGCAGGAGGAAAGGAAGTGGAATGTGTGGTCAAAAGGCAATTCTTGTGGTTATAGGCACCTGGGGATGTCTGTCCCACCTGGACCTCGGCATCTTTTAAAAGTTCCTATAGGACTTTAAAGATAGCCAGAGTTGAGAACCTGTACTGAAGCCCTCATGTTCTAGGTGTTTTCAATAATGACAATATCTACTATCAGGGTACCCTCTGTGCCCGATGCCCCCTTGGTGTGTAGTATCTCATTTCATCTCCAGGGAGTATAATTCCTGTTTTGATGATGAGAAAAGCGAGGTTCAGAAATACTAAGTGGTTTGTTTGCATGAAGTTACACAGGTACTAGGAAGTACTGGAGGGCGGTTCGCTCTCACCCACCTGTCTACAAAGACCACACTCTCTGTCACACTCACAGCCTGCACAGCTCTCCCGGGCTAACCGGCAGCCTCTCACGGCTTCTCAAAGCCCCATGAGGCCAGCTGGAGCAGAGGTGTTGGACAGGCCATGGGAATACGGGCAGCCCCGTTTTCTGGGACGGCAGACTCCAGGGTGGTAGCAAGGAATGAGACGGGCGGGTAGCATTCCCCGCGGTGGCACCTCGGGCTCCCAAGGACTCAGCTCTCCTGCAGTTAGGCCAGTGATACATCTCGAAATAGAGCGGACCTTCGCGTCCCGGGCACACCCCGCTAAATTCACACACTGGGAGGTCAAGCTGGTGCAGAGAGGACGAAACACAGAAACAGAGGAAGATTTTTTATTTTTAAGTTTATTTTTTATTTTTTTTAAAGTAACAAAGAAAAAAATTTATTGTTAATTTAAATCTATCTATCTATCTATCTATCTATCTATCTATCTTTCTATCATCTATCTATCAAATACACAGATTTTGTGATGAAATAAGTGCTTTTTTTGTCCCTTTGCCCCTTGTGGAAAATAACTTTGGCTCATGGCTCTTTGAAAGTTATTTCTGTTCTTCGTAACACATTTAATTTCAAATGTGAAAAATTAGATCGCATTTGTTTTATAAAATATACAGCGAGGCCGCCCCACCCTCTGGTAACCACTAGTCTATCGTCCATGTCCATGAGTCTCTGTTTGTCCTGCTCATTTGTTGCTTTTAGGTTTATATCCCACGCATAAGTGATATCAACTTTTTCTGTCTGGCTTCTTTCGCTTACCATGATTATCTCAAGGTCCATCCGTGTTGTCACAAATGGCAGTATTTCATCCCATGAAAAATATTTTAAAAATAACTCTTATCTACTTCACCTTAAAAGTCATACATGCTCAATGAAAGAATCTTGGGAAACCAGAATATAAAGACACGATCCCTAATTCCACACCTGGAGGCGAGTCCCAAATAACGTTTGCTCTCTAGGCTTTCCAACTTTTTTGTTCTATAAATGCACATACGCACACACACCCATAACAAACACGGCACAGATGCCTGTTTAAACTATTTAAAGTCAAGGAAGTGCTTTTATACCCTGTTGTTAAAAGTCATTTATTTGAGAAGGAGAAAGAGGCACTGTCTTCCTGCGGCCTCAGTGGATGAAAACAAGGAGTTTGGAATCTGAGCTAGTTCCAAAATCCCTGAGAAGGGCCCCTGCCTTACGTTTGCCCCAGAAAACTCTGCCTCTCCAAGGCCGTGCTGGTAAACCGCCTGGACGTGTACTCAGCGCAGGCTGTGGTCCTCTGCTTCCCGAAGACCCCCACGAGGGCCCCATTTTCCTGTGAAGGAGTTGGAACCACGAGATGTCACATAACTTTTAAAAAAGCTGCCCAGTGGCTTCGGTGTCTTTGAGCCCAGCTGGCTCTGTCACGGAGCTGGGTGAGCAGGCAGCTTTCAGTGGCCCTGGCCAGGGGAACTTCAGGTGGCCTTGTCCCGTCCTGGAGGAGGGGCAGTGCCTCAGGCCCTGGAGGCAGGCTGGTAGGGCAGCATGGACTTTGGGGCACAGCCAGACCTTAGAAGAATGGGAAAGTCCTCAACAGCATCGGAGGTGAGCCGACATCCGTGCATCTCATGCAGAGGAGGACTTCATTCAGGTCCTGTTTACTCTTGGTTTACACAGAGTCCTAACAGGTCTGGCGTCTCAGTTCGCGGTGGTTTTGAAGTGCTGGTGGACGTCGTGTGGGGGGGGGCGGGTGCGGGCGGGGGAAGGGAAGAAGCAATAACTAACAGCTTGGGAGGGAAAGAAAGAAGAATGATACTAAACATGGACGACAGCACCACGATCTGGAGCTGCCGAGCGGGGGGGCCCAACCCACACACTGCATTGGGGGCCTCCCTGTGCTCCGGAATGGTGACGTGATTAGTGATGCTAATGACCCCAAAGCATCAAGCAAAACTTAAATCGTGGCCAGCACGTTCTGTGAAGAATGCGTTAGACATTTTAATAAGCCTTTCATCAAAACAATCTCTTAAGAGAAGTTTATAACGGTGCTATTTGGAAAACTCGTGTAAGCGGATAGGTCATTCTCTGGTTTAATTCGGCTCCGCTAACGCGGCCCGGTCATGCGTCGGCACGTGCTGGCAAAGCCAGGGTTGGGGAGCAGCTCTGCTTCTCTCTGGTGCTTTAGTCCAGAGTCAAAAGTGGGCCGTTGGACAAATTTAAGTTGTGAAAAGCAGGAAGGAGCAGGCGACCTGACAAAGAGTTGCTTTCTTCACTTGCGATACTTTGCAAGGTCTCCTGGGTGGTCTGTTTCGGTCCTGGTTGGTTTGCTGGTGTGCGGATCTGTCCTTCCATTCGTTGCTTTATGCTCCAGGACTGTGCTGAGCGCCGCGTTCACACCAAGGGATTCTGCACCATCCAACCACGTGGACAGAAAAAGATAAATGCGAGGAAGGAAATGTAACAGGCGACGGGTGAGGAGCCGCTGGCAGGGGCCTACTTTGGGTCTGGCAGTCAGAGCGGGCTCCCTGAAGAGGTGACTGAGACCTGAGTAGTAAAGGGGAGCCAGGTGAGAGGAGGGAGCCAACTAGGACCTTCCAGGGAGAGGGATGGCAGGTGCAAAGGCCCTGGGGCAGGGCTGCTGGACGTGTCGGGGGCGGTGCATGAGGCTGGATGGAGCACAGTGAGTGATGAAGGTGGTGAGATCTACCACCTGGCTGGGGTTAGGCCCTGAGGCGCTGCTAACCAGTTCCCTTGGGCAAGAGAATGCGTATGACTCGGCACAGAGCCATCTCTGTTACTACAGAGTCAGCTGCGAACCCTCGGCCTCCTGCTCATGGCTCATCGTCTGTACCCGGACGGCCTGACCCCCTGCGCCTCCCCCTCCCTGCTCATCACTTCCTGGATGCTGAGCTCAGATTCACTGTCATTACCCCTGTGTGCTCGCCTAGCCGGGAGGGGGAAGTGGGAACTCACGTTCCATCCTGCCTCCATCTGACCCCAGGTGCCTCCTTCTTCTTGGCGTGGCTTCCGTGCCCTCATCTGTAACACGGGGCTGTGGGCGAACTCTGCTGCCTCCCCAAGCTGTGCCGTGGACCAGTCGCAAACCTTCAATGCCCCGATGTGAGAAAGTCGCTCCCTGGTACCACGACCTCGTTTCCCTAGACCCGACTTTCCCCCTTTTCTTTGACTGTAGAATTTAGTAGCTGTGAAATCTCGCACAAGGTGCGATCCCTTTCTGTGCCTCAGTTTCCTCGTTTGTGAGATGCGGGGTATGATGAGGCGGTCGTGAGGATGAAATGCAGTCATTTCTGTGAAGTGCTTACCTAGTGCTGTGCCTGGCTGCAGCTGGGCCCCCATAAGTGTTAACTGTGCGTGTCCTTTAGAACAGGGGTCCCCAGCCCCCAGGCCGTGGACCGGTACAGGTCCGTGGCCTGTTAGGAACCAGGATGTACAGCAGGAGGTGAGCGGCGGGCCAGCGAGCCAAGCTCCATCTGCATCTGCAGCTGCTCCCCAGCGCCAGCATCACCGCCTCGGCTCCACCTCAGATCATCAGGCGTTAGATGCTCATAGGAGCACTGGTCCCTGGTGCCAAAAAGGTCGGGGACCACTGCTTTCGAATGTAACAGGAGGATGAACTTTAGCTTAATGCAGTAGTTCTTAAGGAGGTGAGGGTGGGGAGTGGGAGGTCGTGCCCCAGGGGACACTGGGCAATGTTTGGAGACAGTTCTCGTTGTCACAACCCGGGCAGGTGTGTTACTGGTGCCTAGTGGGTACAGGCCAGGAATGCTGACTGCTGAAACCCTACAATGTGCAGGACGGCCCCACCCGACACAGAATTGTCTGGTCCAAAATGTCAATGGTGCCAAGGTTGAGAAACCCTGGCTTAGTGTGACTTCCATAATTGTGGCAGGGTTCACGTGCCTGACCTTCACGGAGCCTCAGGTCCCCACCTCAAAAGCAGCAAATAATGTGTATGTCATTATCGTGAATTCCAGAAAACACCACGCCTGAACCTCTTCACAGTTCCTGCGGTGCTCTTGTGTGCGCACCTCACAGGCCGGGGAAGGTGGCACCTGACGCCTCAGTGTACAGCTGAGAACTCTGGCTCGATGGGAAGATGGCACAGCTAGCCCGAGGTCGCAGAGCTGGGAGGCGGGAAACAGAGCTTGAGCCCAGGGTTTCTGGTTTAGCCGGACTCTTCCTGCCACGCCAGCAGCCGTGAGAACCATCCGTGTCGCGAGGCAGCGGTATTTGTCCTTATCGTCATCCTTCCGGACACGGCCGCTTTCCTCTCGCGGGTGCTGGTGCAGGCAGCACTGTCTCTGGCATTTAAAGACCGACCAACGTTCTCACCTTCTTTTTTCCCACGTTCATCTCCCTTGCTCAGTCATGCTCTGCTGCATCTCCAGCCCCGGCTGACTCTAGAACATTCCCATCAGTTACCGAGGCTCTGAGAGTCAGCTACAACGTGGAGGGATCACATTAGTCATAGCAGCCCAGAGGCTTTTCTCTGTACAAGAAATAACCATGCCGGTCTCCGCTGGCCCGGTCAGCGTCATGGCCTGAACACATGTGTCTTGGCCACCTACACAGCCAAGGGAGACTCCAGGGCGGACGACCAGCGCTGGAACCTGCTGCGCCATGGGGACATCCTATTGCTGTGTCACTCGGGATTCTGGACAAGTTAATTTAAAAAAAGATTATTTGTAATGGTTCAGTTACTACACGTTCATTGTTAAGACGAAGAGAAGAAAATTCACACGACCCAAGAGGGTACGAAGTGAAAGCCCCGGGCCCTGGCGGCAGCACCCCGTCACGTGTCCTTCCCTGCTCGTTTAAGAACGGAACACGGAAATCGGCCCAGTGACCTCCGGTCGTGCCCCGTGAGAGAGTCAGGGCAAAAGTCCGCTCCTACGAGTTTCTCGGCATCAGTCTACACACCTTTCTCTGAAGCCTCTGGTTCGAATGGAACAGCAGGAGATAGGAGAAGATGGGAGGCTCAAGGTCATCGCAAACGGCAACTCGAGGTCATGGCTTTCTTGGACCGTGAGAGAGAAGGCTGCAGGCTGTCGGGGAGCAGGGGTACTCATCCTTCTTCTTTAATCGTAGGGATCCCACGGCCTACATTTAAAGCAAATTTCAAGTACCGCCAGGCTTTGGAGTTGGTGCTGTCTGATCCGGGAAAGGCAGAGAGAGCGGGTGGACTTCTCCACTGAAAAGGAAGCCCTCAGCCTCTGATGCTTAAAAAAAAAAATTTAGAAAGACTTCAGTGAGATGTCAGCGCTCCCAGCCACACCCTTGATGAAGGAGCCATGCGCTGGGCCCCCCGTTTCTTTGAATTTCCCCAGATCTCAAGACATGAGAAACACTTCCTTTCTAGACATCAGTGAGAAGGGTTGGACCAGCTGGTGAGGACCTGGAGCTGGGGGAGGGGCTTCCGTGTCTACCCCCTCTCTCAACCCCTTGTTTCTCTAAGTCTGCAGTGGTGGCTGGAGCTGGGGGTTCTGGACGCCTCCGTCCTGTGGAAGCCCCAGAGAAGCCATCTAGTCCAGAAACCAGCATTTTCCAACGTGCAAAGCCAGAAAGGCCAGGTCGTGGGTTTTTGTTCGAAAGGAAGGGAAGTCGTCTCTCCCATCTACCCAGCTGTTCGCCTTATGAGGGGTGGGGCGGGAAGGATGGTATTTGAAATTCTCTTTTTAACTTTAAAATGGTGTTCAGGGGAAGGAGGGAGGGGGTGGGTGCCAGAATAGCATTTGACTCTCTTGATGGCAAAAGGCAAACATAAAACACCTTTGCCCTGCGTAGAAAGTATGCCATTTGGGCCTTGAGCATTACGGACTCCGGGAAAAAGTGCCACCTCCCACTCGAGAGCACCGGCATCATGCGCCAGTGAGGGTATTTCAACCCCTGCAGGGGTCTCTGCCTTTGTCCATGTCCAGCCTCTGTCTGGAGTTCTGACCCCTCCCCAGCATGTCATCCAGCTCTGGCGGGCCTGTTCAGGAAGCAGGGACACTGTCCAGGGTGACAGAAACTTCCAGTGGCCCACGCTGGCACTTTGGGACAAGGGCCGACCTGAGCTATTTTGTCTTCTCACCCGCTGTCTGCCCTCTGCCCTCAGACCTTCTGGAGGCACCCCGTTCCTACTACAGAAGAGGGGGAGGCGGTCTTCAGCTTGAGGTGTGGACATCCCCGTTGGCGCCTTTTCCCAGCCTCTTTAACGCCCAGCTGGTTCTGCCGTCATTTCATAGTTGAGGCTGGAGGGAGGGGAGCTGGCTTGCTTCACGCTCCTTATCTGTCCATTGGGTATGAAAGCATGCCCAGAGCCGAGCTGTATGGGGAGAGAGCACATTCTCGAACTGCGACCCCGAGACGGGAGCACGTGCCACCTCTTTTCAGCAATTTTCGTATAAAAACTAAACCCAGTTCTTGAAACCAATATGAAACCTCATTAATAAAACTTGCATTAAGGGATTTGTTATTTTCCTCCTTGTACCCAGTTGAAAGAACATGGCAGAGGGTTCTGGATAGAAGGGAGGATGTATGTTTAGTTCTTTTAATATCCTTATCTTCTGAGAAGTGTTAAAAGTGCTTCATTGAGACAGCGTTGAAGTCTTCACTGAAGGACCTTCGAGGCCGGTTAAACTTCTCATTCTCTACGGAGGTGAGGATTCTCTACAGTTCAGCGAGGGTGTCCTTTCCTGGAACAGCAGATTTGGGACACCTAAGTTAGAGTACCATACGGCTCTTTTCCCTTGCAGAAAGGCGAATCCCAAGCAGGCACTGTCTGGGATCTGGAGAGGGAGGGGCACCTTGGCTGGGTAATGACCTTGTGCTGTGGGACCTTGTGCATAGCTGCAGAAGGCAGGAAAGCTCCCTTCACCTTTTCCCCTAAAAGAGTTCCACCTCCAGCTGCCGGTGGGATTGGCTCCCCAGGCAACGACGCCAAACAGTTTACAGTCTGGGCATGCAGCTCACAGATGTGGGGCTGCCAAAACCCAAACCTGCTGAGCCACAGCTGTCTTGGCCCAAAGAAAAAAAAAAAAATACGGAATGCAGCTTAGCTGCCAACTTGAGTTTTCTGCCTCATTGGCTGCCTGTCTCTGGGAAGGACCCACTGCTTTGTAGCTTCGCTCCATGCTCCTGCCCACCTGGAGCCCTTCCCCCACCCCCAGGTTTATGTCGGTCTTCTTTCCTCTTCCCTGCAGACAGCTTGAGACATGTTGGTCAGGTGACAGTCACAGTTCAGCCCCAGTGAGGCCAGTTCTCCCCATCAGAGAGTCCTGGTTTTGTAGAAACCATCTTATTTCCTGTGCTCCTGGAGGAGAGATGTGAAATCAATAAGCTGACTGTGTGCGTTTCCAAGGACCATCATAACAAATTACCACAAACTGAGCTGCTTAAGACAACAGATGTATTCTCTCACAGCTCAGGAGGCCAGAGATCTGAAATCCAGGTGTCCCCGTGAGGCTCTAAGGAAGACCCCTTCCTCGCCTCCTCCTGTAATTTCCTGTGGCTGCTGGCATCCCGTGGCGTTCCGTGGAGTTTGGTGGCGTTCCGTGGTGTTGCATCGTGTCCTGTAGCATCCCATGGCATTGTGTGGCATTGTGTGGCATCCTGTGGCATTCCGTGGAGTTTGGTGGCGTTCCGTGGTGTTGCATCGTGTCCTGTAGCATCCCATGGCATTGTGTGGCATTGTGTGGCATCCCGTGGCGTTCTGTGCAGTTCGATGGCATTTCGTGGTGTTCCATGGCATTGTGTGATGTCCCGTGGCGTCCCGTGGCGTTCTGTGGAGTTCCGTGGCTTGTAGCTACGACTCCGATCTCTGCCTGTGACTTCACATGGTCTTCTTCCCTCTGTGTGTCCTCTCTTCTTATGAGGACATCACTCCTTGGATTGAGGCCACCCTAAATCCAGCATAATGACATCTCAAGATCCTCAACTGACTCTGTTCCAAATAAGGTCACCCTTAGGTTCTAGGGGGACACAAATTTGGGGATGGGGTGGGTGGGATACCGTTTAATCTACTGCACTGACCTCTGGAGATATTTATTTCCCGTTTATACACATAGATACTCTTACAGACATATTTGGATCATTGTTTTTAGTTCTAGTGCATTTAAAACTTTTAGTGTTTAACCATTTAATATTCGCATACACTTTTCCATGCTAAACTCCTTTTGCAGACCGGATTTTTAACGACCGACTGTTGGTCTGCCATATGAGTGACAGTGTGGCCTAGTGGTGGGCAGTGTGGCCTCCAGAGCTAGACTGCCAGCGTTTCTATCCTGCTTGTCTCTTCTGCTCACAGTTGCAGGCTGAATTGTGTTCTCCCGCTCCCCCTCCCCCTCCTCCAGACTTATATGTTGGAGTCCTAAGCCCCAGCAACTCAGAATGTGACTGGTTGGAGAGAGTGTCTCTGAAGAGGTGTTTAGTGTTAAATGAGGTCATTCGGGTGGGCCCTGAGCCCATATGACTGGTGCTCTGAAAGAGAGCATTGGGACGCAGACAGACACGGAGGAGGGACCGTGTGAAGATGGCGGGGAAGACAGCCATCTACAAGCCTCAGGGGAAACCCACCCCGTGGACACCTTGATCTTGGACTTCCAGCCTCCAGAACTGTGAGGAAAGAAATTTCTATTGTTTAAACCACTCGTCCGTGGTCCTCGTCATGGCAGCCCGAGCGGACTGATACTCGGCCATTCTCCCTTTGTGTGATCAGAGTTCTTTCTCGCGGGGTTTTGGTGAGGATGAAATGGGCATGAAGTGCTGCTGACACGTGGTTAGCAGGCACTCCCGCACGCTGGTACGACCCTGATTCATCTCCCCAGCCTCTGTTGTTGCACGGTGGGTGGCTTCTGTTCATTCGCCGGGTGGACATTTATTGGACGCCAGTCATGGCCAATTTGCCCTGTGATCAGTAAGGCAGTGATCAGCAGCTGGGTGCACTATCTTTGTCCACTTCCTTGGAAGAGATTTTAGGACCATTCTCTATCCGCTAAGTCATCTTTGCTGAGCCCCTCCCCTCGAGGGGCTCTGTGATGGGGATACCCTATCACCATGTGCTTCTAGGCTGGTGCCCAGGAGACCCAAGGACTCCGTGGGAATTTCACACCTGCCCACGGCAGGCAGTGGCCCTTATGCTCTTTTTAAGTAGTTCGGAGCCCTCCCTTGAGTTTGCTGGCACCAGGAAAGAGCCCGCAGTCTCTTGGGATCTCCGGGAGGCTGAGAGAGTCAGCCAGCCCCCAGCAGCCTCCTTGCCCTCCCTCCCCCTGCCTCCTCTGGCCCTGGGTGCCTCCAACCCCAGCCTTTTTTCTTCTCCTCTTTGAAGTATGAGCCTCAGAGCCACTACAGGCAAACAGGATGTTTCACTCCTACACGCAGAGACTTCAGAGGAGATGCTTGGGTCGAACCGCATCCTGCTGGCAGTGGTGGGTCCCGTCTGCTGTGGACCTGGTGTGGGAGGGGGTGCCGGGTGGGGCATCACACACAGCTGGCTCCATTAGTCACTCCTTGAGCATCCGTTCCAGACTTGGAACTAGGTGGGCATCTCGAAGTTCCGTTTGGGGGGCTCTTGTGCCTGGAAGGACTGAATAATGCAGGTGGTGAACGATGGTGACACCTGCTTGGCACCCTGGTCATGAAATGTTAATAGCATTCCTCATCCCTTGCCTCGCCCCTGGCTATGATTTTTGTTATTTTGGGGGAGGGTTTTTTTGGGGTTTTGTCTGTTTTTTTGTTTTTTGGTTTTTGTTTGGCAGTCTAGGATTATAAGATTGCTACGAAACGGATACCTGCTGGGGGCCTAGGGAAGAGTGGTCTTTCTGAGCAGTTGGAGACCTCGGACAGGGGACCTTAGTCACTCCGGGAAGAGTGAAGGAAAACCCAGCGTCCTCAGTCTTTCCCTGGGTTGTGGACTCTGCTCATAGCAAAGTGATTTAAGCGCTTATCCTACGGCCAAAGCCGTCTGGGGAAGATGGAGGTGTGAAGGCAGAGGTTCCAGCTCCTCCACCCCCCAGGCGGCTGTTCTGAGCCCTTAGACTCCGTCAGACATTTAATTTACAAAATAGTTTGTGTGTGGGGGCGGGGGGGGAAGGGCAGATTTAAAAGATGTCAGAGTTTTACCACCCACTTGATAACCCTGCCCGGCAGTGAGTGACATTCTGACACTTCTGGAACTTTCCACGTGTTGAGCCCATGATAGTGCCATAAGTGAGGGCACCGGGTGCACGTGTGGATTTTTCGTCTGCAGAATATCCTGAGAGCTCAGTCAAAGGTCTGAGAGAGAGATGAAGAGACATTTCCTCAAAAGAGGCTGTACCCAGCACAGCGGAGAATGCTTCCCCCAGCCCACCCCTCTCTTTTCCCCACCCCTTTTGTAGGACAAGAAAGGGGCGTGGCATGGGATCAGGTGGGGATGGGGGCGAGGGTCTTCCAGGTGGGAATAGGGAGGAGTCAGCCCTTCGAGGACCTGGGCTGTGTCCAGAGGAAATACAGAGGATGTCGTCTCCATCGGGGCTTCTCCTCTCTCACCTGAGGAGCGCACCTGCGAATCGTTTCTTTCCCAGAGACGTGCTCCTGGGCCTGTGTGAATGTGCGGTTGTTTGCATTCTGCAGCCGACTGCTATTTCTTTCACTAGGGCCTTGTTCCTAAGACCTATCCTTGCTAAGACTGTAGTTTTACCCCTCTGCCCTGCACTGAATAAGCCCCATTTTGTTTCTTGGCATAATAATTGGTTCATTTGAGATCTTGGATGCCAGACTTCTGGGGGTCTTAATAACATTAGCATAATAGGATAGGACAATGACCTTTACCACAGCACCGTGTCCCCAGGAATGGTTTCTACTCCACGATCTCAAGTTCCTGCAGGAACACGTCCCTGTATCATCATCTATCCAGATAAAGTGGAGAGTCTTAAAGGACTTCTTGATACAAAAGTATGAGTCAGTGCTGTGTGAATCTCTCCTTCCATGGAAAATAAAGATAGATTTGTTCATGTGACTCTCTAAGCTATTATATTCCATTGAGATCATTTCATAACGGCCAGAAACATTCAGGAAATCTGCCTCGTCTGGCACACTACTTGCTTAAGCCTTCTTTGTGTGCGTCTGGCACGTATGTGCATTCTTCTGCAACAATAGGTATTTAATAAATATTTGATAAGATGATTCACGGCCCAATTAGCCTCATCCTTCAGATTCTTTTTTTCTCCTCTTTGCCCCTTAGATCTTCAACCTCATGAAGTATGACAGCTACAGCCGCTTCTTGAAGTCTGACTTGTTTTTAAAACACAAGCAAACCGAGGAAGAGGGAGAAGATCCACCCGATGCCCAAACGGCAGCTAAAAGAGCCTCAAGAATTTATAACACATGAGACCCCAAAGAGCTGGCAGGACCAGCAGCTTTCTGAGGTGAAGGGACTCACTCTCAAGACCATGCAGGGCTTATAATTGCTTTGTTATCTGCGGGGACTGAAATGTACAACACCCTTCAATGGGATATGTGTATTTTATTAACTGCTTGACCAGTAAGTTTTGCATGATGGCTAATCTTACATAAAAAACAAATAGCTTTGACGTTTTAGTTCACATACACGTACGAGGCAGAGAGAGTCCCTGAACACTGGACACTGAGCATTTTGTAGCTTGATTAAACTTCATGTGAGGCCACCAGGTAAAACTTAGAGTCAGCCACGTCTTACCTTTTAAGTCTTTGCCCTCTCTCTGTGGAAGAGGGCCATGCATGTCCACAGATTCACTTGGCGAATCAGCTCAAGAATGAGTTGATCTGACAAACTCAGACCACTGCGGGTGTTGTCTGTCAGGGGCCTTTTGGGTTAAGTACTTTTCAAGAGCAAGTTTAATCCTGGGAAAAGAAAACTCATCACTGACAGCCTCTGCAGATTTGGGGAGCTGTGTCATCAGAAGGTTCTTATTTTTTGTGCCGGGGTTTGTCCTGGTTTTGTTCACCGTCCGTGACTTTTCATGCAACACAGATAAATAGTTCATCTTGACAGAAACAGGATCTCGACCAGGAAGAAAGGAAGA